AACAAAATTCAGACCTTCTGAAATTCCTCATGAAAAGAACATGAGAGAGAGCCCCATATCCCAGAATAGCCTGGTGGTCAGGCATTCATCTGGAATGCGGGAGGATCCAGGTCCAAATCCCAGCTCCTGGGCTCAGTGAATCAGTCTCTCTCCCCTCATTTTTACCACAAATTCTGTACTGGACTGGAAAACCTCCAGATGAAATTTTTGACAAAACAAATACATTTCTGTGGAACATTTTGATAAAGTGGCATTTTTTGACCAAAAAGAGTTCTGTCAAAAAAATTTCAAACGGCCCTAGTAGCAATGATCTTTGGGATCTCACGTGAAGATGTGCCATATGTATCTTTCTGTCACTCCATGGGAGCTAGATGCACAATGTCCCTCTTGGCAAAGGAAGATGTATTAGCCCTCATGACAATAGCAGAATTCATAAGAGCAAATGTAGCAACTAGTGTGTAGGAAGGGGTAGTGGATTACATGGGGGAAAGTGTTCTATTGGGGAAAAAAACATACTGATAATGCAGCATCTCTCACTTTCCCCAAATTCTGGACTAATGTCCTGGGACAATAAAATACTTTTTCATTATATATGATGATATAGCAAGCACGCATCTTTCTCAAATACACCTCTACCCCGATATAATGCTGTCCTCGGGAGCCAAAAAATCTTACTGCATTATAGGTGAAACCGCATTATATCGAACTTGCTTTGACCTGCCGGAGTGCGCAGCCCCGCCCCTCCGGAGCACTGCTTTACCGCGTTATATCCGAATTCGTGTTATATCGGGTCGCGTTATATCAGGGTACAGGTGTATAGTCATATGTGGAAGATGATTAGGTCACTTCCATCACAGATTTTTTTTTAAATCCACAAATAAGATATTCAATAACATAAGTCATCAATATTTCCAAAATCTGTGCCTATCCAGTTTGCCACTTTTTCATTCTTTCACTCACTTCAAAATTTTCACATACTAAATGATGGGTGAAATGGGTTGGATTAAATAAAAATTGACCTAAAACCTTCTCCAAAATTCAGAACCAAAGATACTTTTCTTCGGGGGGGGTTTGGGGGGGGGGGGGGGGGCAGGGAAGAGTGGTGATCAGCCAGAGAAAGAATCTATGACATTTGGCTAACTTTATAAAAAAAAAAAAATCAGTTTCTGAACTTCTTAGTTTTGTCTGGGATCAGAAATATCACAAGTAGTATGAAACACACATTATTTGAAACATAGCCCAACTATGGATATAATTATATATATATATATATATATATATATATATATAGAATAGAATATAACCAGGATATAATAGAAATCTCATATAGAAACTGTCTTGTGAGCTTTGCTATTCAGTATCGCAGTGAAAAAGATTTAGATTAAGGTTAGAGGATTACATTTCAATGGGAAGTTTGACTGGGTGAATGGATGATATGATCAGGCCCAATTTCAGGCAAGTTTTGGGTAAATATATGAATTTTTGGATACTTCTACAAGCCCAGCCACAGCAAATCTCTGAACCTTTCTAGCACAAACCACTACTCAAACAAGTAGTTCCACTGAAGGACTTGGCTCAAGGTTTGAACATCGCTAAAATGTGGGATCCATGGAGCAGAATTTGGATTTTTTTTTTTTTTGCCTTATAAATAGTTAATTTTTGTTTAAGAATTACTACTAATTGCCATTTACAAAATAAGATCACATGAAGGTAATTTAGTCTAACATTAAATTTTAAATAGGAATTTCAGGCTATTTATATGCTTATGCCTATACAGTGTATAAAATACATTTTCAAGTGTCTTCTCCGAGATACGGACAATTTTATGGTCAATGAATTCTGAATACATATCATCCACTATGACCTTAACTGTAAGGATTTTTCAAGTCACTCAATTTCTAGTTCAGTTCCAGTCTAATCTTTCTCTTCTTAACTGTCCTTTGCCGTTAATAGAATTTAAAGCATTACTTAACTATATTTACATATCTTACTCATAAAAAAGACAGTTGGATCCGTCTGTATATTTATGAAATATAATGGAGAAGAATATATTTGCATAGGGAGGTCATATCTCATTTCCAGCATGGTTTAAGTATAAATCCAGGTCATTAAATGAAGCCCATATGCAAATTAGTTTGGGGCTGCACATACAAAATAGTTAAACTAAGCAAAGGGAGAGAGAGATTGGAAGTCCAGAGGCATAAAAAGCAGCAGATTTAGTGGAGCTCATTATTAAATATTTGAAATGATTGGACAGATCCTGAGTAGTGGCCAAGGTGATGACGGGTGGGGAGGAAAGATAGCTACCTTAAGCAGGGCCGGCTCCAGGGTTTTGGCAGCCCCAAGCAGCCCCCCCCCCCAAAAAAAAACCGCCACGATCGCGATCTGCGGTGGACTTCGGCGGGAGGTCCTTCGCTCCGAGCAGGAGTGAGGGACCGTCCGCCGAATTGCCGCCGAATAGATGGACCTGCCGCCCCTCTCCGGAGTGGCCACCCCAAGCACCTGCTTGCCAAGCTGGTGCCTAGAACTGGCTCTGACCTTAAGACATCTTTGTATACCGCAATTTTTGGATTGGTACCCTAGAATAAGTTCGAGTAGTTAGAAGGTTGCTCTAGCTTGACCTGGCTGCCAACAGCCCATGTTGCCAGTAGAAGAGCCTGGGATTAGTGGGGCATACAGATGCCCAGCTCATTTCCCCTACTCTGATTACATAAGAACAGCCATACTAGGTCAGACCAAAGGTTCATCTGTCTCCGACAGTGGCCAATGCCAGGTGCTTCAGAGGGAATGAACAGAACAGATTGCAGGGTGGAGAGTGATGTGCTATACCTGCACTACACCACTGATAGATCCCCTTTCACTGAGACAATTCTTCTATGGCCAACAGTGCTGCTGTAAGCAGGGCCGCCGAGAGCGGATTCGGGCCCCGGTGAAAAATTCTTTTCGGGCCCCCCAGCAAGGGCGGACCGGCTAAACAGGGCCGACGAGAGGGGGGGGGAAGCCGAGGAAGCCGGGTCCCGGGCCCCCTTCCGGACCGCCGGGCCCCAATAATTTGTACCGGCTTCCCCCCCCCTCGTCAGCCCTGGCTGTAAGGCCACTTTGAATCATCTATTACTCCTGGTTCAATTTATTGATTATTCCATCTGACTTTCATCATAAGGGTTCAACTATCTTCAGAACTAACTTCTATATTATGCACATTTGTGGGGCTTGATTCTGCAAGCACTATATGTGTGGAACTTCCATTGACTACAAAAGGAATTTCATGATTAGAGGATTTACAGAATATATTCCATAGTATCAAAAATTCCAATGGATGATACTTCTGGGCTAAATTCTACACTTAGGGCTGGTCTATACTTAGCCGCTAGTTCGGCGGCTGGAAATCGAACTTCCTGGTTTGATTTATCGCGTCTGGTCTGGAAGCGATAAATCGAACCAGGAAGTGCTCGCCGTCGACTGTGGTACTCCAGCTCAACGAGAGGAGTACCGCGGAGTCGACGGGGGAGCCTGCCTGCCGCGTGTGGACTGCGTCTGAACCGCGGTAAGTTCGAAGTAAGGTATGTCGACTTCAGCTACGTTATTCACGTAGCTGAAGTTGCGTACCTTACTTCGACTTGGGGGGTTAGTGTAGACCAGGCCTTAGATACTTCTACGCCACAACACTGACTTTAAAATTTAGCCTACATTTTATAAAACTAGCCAATTTTAACCACTTCTAATACTAATCTCTCCTTCCCCTCTATTATCTCTTCCTTTTTCAGACAATTTCACTTTCATTCTTCTCAGTATTAGGTGCTCTAAAAAATAATCTGATATATTAACAGCCAACAGATCATTCCTATTTCCTATACTAGAGTTGAAAATGTGTGGTAAAATGTTTATAAGAAGTGAAAATAAACTACTGAATGTTGCTGTTAATTTTATTCCAGTCTGCTTTTTATTAAAACTAATCAAAAGAATTTTGGAAAATGCCTATTGAAGTGGTTTGTCTAAGAACTATGCAATGAACTTAGTGCCTTTGAAATGTCAGACATGAAAGCATTACATTTTCAATCATTCCAATTCTGTAAAAAGGATTTTCCTCCAGCATAGAACAGTAATTATATGAAGTTACCCTCTGGCATTCAACTATGACCATCATATTTAGTTTAATTTTAATTCTAATTAAGATGCCAATATTCATTTGATCAAGTGTTAAAAAACAAATGCTCATAAAGCAATTTCAAAGCAACTTAAAACACATACATTTTGATCATTAGCCAAACCATGAATTACTCAATTAAGCTTTTTGCCTTTTATAACATTTTTGCAAAATTTTATTTTAAATTAATTGTATAAACAATCCATCAGCTGCACGGTTTGTATAGAAATATCTTCAATTTGACTAGTCTGAGAGGCAAAATGTCTACCACTTAAAGTTAGTTACTCAAAAGAGAACAATTTCAAGGATGTACCAAAAAGCAAATAACATGACAGTTTTAGGCAGCAAACTGCAGACACTTCCTGTTGTGTGTAATTCTTACAGCTGTGAGTAGTTTCATTGACTGGGACAGGCAGCAAGGCAGTCGGGGCTGCGTGGTGAGCGCCCCGCTGAAGCCCTGGCCGGCCCCCTTCTCTCTCTCCCCGCTCCCTCCCCCGCCAGCCGGGGCATGTCTGCAGCGCAGGGAGTCCCCCTGCACCCTGGCTCCGGCCGCCCCGCAGGTTTTTTTTTATTTTTTATTTTTTCCTGCTTTGCCGTTCCGGCCACGCCGCAGGTTTTTTTAATTTTTTTGCTTTGCCGTTCTGGCCGCCCCAATTTTTTTTTTTTTTTTTTGCTTGGGGCAGCAAAAAAACCAGTGCCAGCCCTGTCTTTGTAGCACTAGCCCCTATGTTCTTGTATCATCTTCCCCCTTGCTTCTCTTCCTCTTGCTAAAGATATAGAAAGCACTGTATTGCAAAAGATATGCACAGATTATTAAAACAGATATATATTATTCAAAGCACCATATAAAACATACCAGTAGGGCAAGTGCAGGTGAAATTTTTCCCATCATGTTTTTGTGTTACATCAGTGCAGGTTCCATTGTTCTGGCAGGGCCTGCTTTGACAGGCGTTAAATTCTTCACAGAAAGCACCCATATATTGATCCTCACAGTCGCAGAAAAACATTGCCTACAAACAAACATAATGTGTCCATTATTATGAGATTTCCAAGCTTATTTCTGAGTTGTTAACTTCATTGAGCAAGGGTTAAAAAACAGCAGCTAGGAACACATCATTGTAAAAAATACATCTCTGTAAAGTTATCCCTTAAAATACTGATCCTGCACCCCTTACTCGGGCAAAACTCATAACAATGTTAGTGGGAATTTCAATGGAGTAATGAGATCAGAATGCTGGGATCTGAAACTGGGATCAGAACCCTGATATCCAAGCTAGTTATATATAACAGTAGTATATAACAGGTTTCAGAGTAGTAGCCGTGTTAGTCTGTATCCGCAAAAAGAACAGGAGTACTTGTGGCACCTTAAAGACTAACAAATTTATTAGAGCATAAGCTTTCGTGGGCTACAACCCACTTCTTCGGATGC